GTCACATCTCAGGAATAACAGTATTGTAAATTCTTGGGGTGTGACACGAGGATATGGCCCGCATGGTCTCTAATGAGAATCCCGCTCCCTGAGGGGCCAAGGTTACTCAGAGAGCATCCATCAAAGTTCAGTTTAGTATGCCCTGGGATAGGTGAATTCCAAAGGGTAGCACAGGGAATATGAGCTTTTCTAGTAGAGTAAGGCTTCCCAGTCTTGGAAGGATGCTGAGTGGGGTATTCCATTGAGCAGTTTGTGATTAGTTGCCCCAAAAATAACCTGGGATCTAATCTTGTCAAACATTACACCCAGCAAGGACCTTTCTCCAAGGATTATTTTGTTGCTACACTCGTTCCAAAGGATCCAAAGGGCAATAGCAACTGAGGCCTTCCATAAGAAAATATCAGCTTTGGGCCAAGGGAAAGGATGGAGGGAGCAAAAGGGAAGTGGAACTGAGTTGGGTGTGACCCATTGACACTTAAAAGAGGAGAAGGACCCCAAAAATCTCGTGAGCAACAGGACAAATGTGGGCATTGCTTTCTTCATCTGCACAGCACAACATGCACCTATTATGGATGGTCAGACCCCTTGTTTGAAGCTGGTCAACAGTACGGGCCCTTTCGGACAAAGCCAACTAGTTAAATACTTGGATTTTTGCTGGGGAAATGGAAGACCAAGATTGGGCTACAATGGAAGTAGGAGATAGGGGGAAGTTTATGACAAAAGGAGTAGACTAAGAATGCCCCCGATGAGCTCGGGGTCCAAATGATAAGGTCACTACCCTGATGGGTGAGGAACAGTGAGGGAACCTTTTTTCAGCTATCTATACATATCTTATGTGTGATGTAAGACACACTTGTAGTCATCAATTGTATGTTATCAAGTCCGATAGTTGAAATGAACCATGTTCTTGGATGAATGCAGTCCTTGGAACTTAGCTATAATTTGACCTTCCTTGAATATGGTGCAGGTTACATATGACACTATATCTGGGATTTCCAATTTCAATGACAGTTTTACTTTAATTATTCGCCCACAGAATTTGGAATCTCAGTTACAGTTACACATGGAAACATGTTTGGATAATAGAGATCTGGATCTCATTAATTTGGGATCTAAATCCTCAAATTTGCAGATCTAGATCCTCAATTTCACATATCAAGATCTTCAATTTTGGGGATCGAGATCCCTAAATCAATAAACAATTGGAATCGAGATCCCATGTCTCAGAGCGCCGTATCAAGCTTCCAAAGCAGGATCGATCCTTTGGTTAGGGACTCCCAGTAACTACGTAATTGACCATTCACTTATGTTGGGAAGGTGTTCAAGTGTGGGTCCAAATTGTGCAGCTAGCCCAAACATGGGCGTATGTAACTGCCATAGCCATGTCAGAGTGGGCAAGTTCACAAGTAATGGCCCTTTGTGGCATTGGAATAGGTTCACCAAAATGGAAACCAAGCCTTAATGAGCCACGATGGACAGGCCATTTATGCCAAGGCTTGAATTTGTCACTACCACCAGGTGCTGGGCACTATTGGTGTAGACCAGAGCCATGCAATTAATGGCCAGGAACCTTAAGGGAAATCCGTGACTGTATACAAGCAATTGTAGTAATGTAAAGTGAAATAAGTTGCACCACCACACTTTCCTGTACTACATTCCTCTTGTGTGTGATTGTGGAAAGCAGGCTTAGCCATGGTTTGGGTCCCACTTAGGCTAGATGTCACCCAGTTTGGCTCAAGTCTAAATTAGCCCCCTTGGCAACAATCTTCCACAATAAGGCCATCAAATCTTCAGGAACGCTGTCAAGTTACATGTGTAAGCTGAAGCATAGTTGCAAGGGAACTTAATGTGGATGGGAAGCTTGTTTATTGAGTGAATGATTCAGAAACTACACCATTTCACACATTTCAGAGGAACAATTTTTCATTGCATGCTCCTATGTAGCGTTCATCACAATTCTTGGACTGATTCCCGTTTTGAAGCATGTCCATAATCAACCCCTGGTTTCTAGCTCCAATTTAGTACTTATTGAGTCGTCTCTGAATCCCATTTCGTGTTCCAAAATAATGGGCTGAGCTCATTGCAAGTTTAGAAAATGCCACCGCACTGCAGTTCATATCATAAATACCAGCACCGGGAGTGAGGTCAAATCGCAAATCGGGATTGGAACGTACATCGTGAGTTGAATGGATCATGATCCCAGTATGAAGGAAGCGCGATCCAAATTTGTCCATGATCGAATTATAAAAATATATCAGATTGAGGTCCATCCAGCTTAGAATTGAGGCCTCCCCAAGAGCACTTAGCTCGGGAACAAAGTTTGTTGAAGGATATGATGGATGTTTTTTTTATAATTGAAAAACCGAAGCATTATTAAATACAAACAATCCTGATTTTTAAAATATATTTTAACTCTTTGTTATCACTGGAATGCGAGTGAGAAGTAAAACTGAAAACCAAAAATGAGGATTCAAATTTCAGTCTTCAGGCATGGAAGAAGCTTTAGTGTTTGATGAAAATGCGATATCCTTGTTTTCCCTTGTTTGGGTCCTTACATGTGATTGGGCATGAAACTGGTCAAACACTCTTTAGATTTGGAGGAAAAAAATGGGTCCAGAGGGAAAGAAAGGTTCAACCTGCAAAGGTCCTTGTAATGGTGGATATGCTCAATGAGAGGGCATTAGAGACAAAATTCAATTGTAAAAAGCTTATAGAGGTTCCAGTAAGTGAAACGAAAAGGATTTAGGATAGAACAAGGCGAAGCTTTAGCTCTACAGCTATTCTGCTTCATCTAACAATTCCCTAACATATTATGACAGCAACTTGTATGTTATAGTGTTTATTTTCATGATTTACAGGCTCAAAGTTCAAACCTCAAGCTTCAAACCCTCTTTGCCTTTCTAGGCATTCGGGCTGTTTCTCAACTGGTTGATCTCTATACAAAAACCCAATTCATATTTCAGAATTTTTAGAGAAATATGCTCTTGCACACACACACACACACACACAAAGAGAGAGAGAGAGAGAGAGAGAGAGAGAGAGAGTAGTAGGTGGTAGGAGGTAGTAGGAGTAGGTAGGGTAGGGGTAGGGAGGTACGTAGTACGACGACGTACGTAAGTAGTGGTCGTAGGTAGGTAACGTAACGTTACGTTACGTTACCGTTACCGGTTACGGG